AGAAATATTTTTTATTACTTATATTTTACTTATTTTCTATTAGTTATTTTTGAGATAAAATTTTGAAATTACGTGGTTTTATATTATTTTTTTTTACTTTGAACTGAATAGTGCTAAAATTAAATTCATATTTAAATTTCTTATAGGTGAAAAAAATTTTTTGTTAAATCCATACCCTTATCTGTGTAATATTGCTATTACTTATCTGTGTAAAAGTTATAACATCAAAATGGAAAACCTTATAAGTTCGACGAAAATAAAGGTTTTGACTTGAAATTTTGTTTACAATATATGTAAGTAATATTACACAGATAAGGGTATGGATTTAACAATTTGATAATTTTTGGGAAAAACAATTTTTGTCATCTAAAAGAAATTTGAATATGAATTTAATTTTAGCACTATTCACTTCAACGTAAAACATGATATAAAACCACGTAATTTCAAAATTTTATCTCAAAAATAACTAATAGCTAATTTTCTGCTGAATGCCCCCCCTTAAATACGTTTCTGTCGTTACGTTGGTCTTCTCAACACTTCGCACTAATGTACGGTTTCGTAAAATTTCAGTATTTGCAAAATTTTCTTTCCGTTTTTCCACCTTTAATCAAGTATTTCAAATGTCAAAGCAAAATACAGTGCCCTACTGAAAAATACTAAATGTTCCTGATATGACCTTGAAAGGATGAGAAGAAAATTTTTCCTTTTACGCGTATTATATTTCGTAAAAAGGATGATAGAAAAATTCTTCGCTTTTTTTGGTATCTACTACCGTTTGTTAATTATTTCGAATAACATGTATTTATAAAGATCTTGTATGTTTTAAAGTAATCCTTAAAACATCCTTAGTTAAAACATCCTAAAGTAATCCTTAAAGAATTTAAACGATATCCTTAAGAAGTATCTTACTTTTTCCTGGTAATCGTTTGAATCACTTTCTTCATACTCATTTGTAGAGACTGAGACTCCCGTTTGATGCACATTTCTCTTACTATACATTCGCCGAGCTGTTTTATAACACTAAAAATAAAACATATATTTTATATTCTTTATAATGAATAAAGATATTTGATGAAACTATTTAAAAAGCTATAGTTATATTTATTTTTGTATCAAATTAGATTCAACTATCGTATTACAGCACGATCGCGATAATATCGTAAATTGCGTATTTCGATTCATGTCGGTTCAATGAACTCTGATACAACATGAAATTTTAACAATACGGCCCAAAACCATTTGAGAAAATTGAAACAGAGTATTTTCACAGACGAGAAATTTGTAGTATAGCTGGCAGTTATAAAGCTAAAGCTTTAAAGTTTTCCAAAAATAAACATTTTTCATAGGTATAGGTTTAAATAAAATTAATGAAATAGTAATTTTACAATTTATTCATAAATTAAATTAAATACCGTTAGCTGTGAATTCTAATTTTTTAATACTTTTTTGTATTTTTCTTCTTTTTAAGGAAAATTTAATATTGGATGCGAATATAAGACACAAATTAAAACTATTAAAAATAAGTTATCTTCATCTTACACGGATTGGATATTGGCATGTACATATAAAGAGGAACGCAATATTGAGTTTAGAATATTGTGTATTTATGAGTGGTATTGACCTTGCCCTTCACTGAGTTTTATGAACTAAATAAACATGTAACGAAACAATTTAGAAAAGGTGAAATTGTTTATACAAAATATCACGATAGATTGGACCATTTACTCTTTGTAAAAAAATACAAAACTTGTAATAACTACAAATATAACTTTTGTTTTTCCTCACTTTTGAATTTTGATTTTTGTGTTATAAAATTATTGTTTCATATTACTTGAATTTTTAGTATCTTGAAGTTAATAATTAATTTAAGAATCTTTATAAATTAGTCTCTTTTGTAATAATATAAGAAGTTACCTGTAGTTCACAGCTTGCTTGAATAACGTTTTGCTCCCTTGGTATTACTTCGCAACATAAAGCTGAAATAGCTTTTTTTTTCAAAAATTCATTCGAAATCACACACTTTAAGCCGTTTCGTAATAATGTAGTTGCCATTTTAACTTGAAATATAAATTCAATTTGTTTTATCACAAAAATACAAATCGAGCAAGTCTAACACCAACTTACGATCATTTCAAACTCAATACTAAACTGGAGAAGACTGTCGGGCCCTTTTTGTTGGGTCGGTCACAAATTCCCCCCTTTGTTCTTTGCGCAAGCGCAATGGCACCTCGTTCTCTTTATTTCTTACTTTTCTTCGATTACGAGCGCTTGTGCACGTCCCCTTCTTTTCACCGATAAAAACATAAGCGTACTTACGTATCAACGAAAGTGTAAGAAGTAATTTAAAAGTATTAATAAAAATTAAACAATATATTTAAATTTGGATATTATTAATTTACCCATTGTCAAATTAATTTATATGTATTATATATTATTTTTTCAGATTTTATGTCAATAAAACAATCGAATTCACGTAAATTTAGTTAGAGAATCGAAACACAATATATTTATGATTGAAAATATAATAGTTTTCCATTCAAATCCGTAAATTTAGGTAACGCTTGAGTTCTACGTTTCATGCAACCGAAATGGAGTGTATGTGTTAGAATCCATAGTAATTTTAAGAATACGTATTGTTTTTAAATAACATTTATAAAAACGTAAGACAAAAATTAAATTATTTATATTTATATTCACATAATAAAAGTATTCAATAAAGAAACTTTATTTCATAAAAAAAAATAGTATCTTCCGTTTATCTGCTACGCCTATGCTGAAATTTATCAGCGTTACCGTGATGCGAGACAATTTGGTGTCTGGTCAGTCTACCAAATAGAACCATGAAACCGAGTTAGAGATTAGTTAGAAATATAAAGACCAGGCGTAAATATACATACAAAGAAATTTTAATACCACAGAAGTAGGTCACGTTAAGTAGACGCAAATATGCGTACGTGACGAAAAGCATGATATGATATAGTTGATTATAAAAATTTAAAATGAAGTATAAAGTTGATGTTGAATTTCATTTTTGTAAAATAGATACATACATTGCGTATTTCAACGTTATGTATTTTACTTTTTGAACCTTTATACATATTTTAATTTTTTTTATACTCAATTCTTTCAACTTTTACTTCATCACCAACAAGTTGGTATACATAAGTTACAACTGTTGAACTTTGAATATCCATAAGGACGAAAGATGGGATAACTGACCTGTAAATTTAATATATGAATATGTACTACAAAGTGTTTCCTTTAACTCGAGCACCTAAAATAACTCTGTTCCTTTTCGTAATACGAAAAAATGTTGTAAAAGAAAATTATTCCGTTCAAAGGACCAAATGATACTATAAAATAATAATTTTTTCAAAGTTATATTTTTCGAGATTTCAAGGTCGTTACCATTTTGTTAAGTAACATAATATATACCTTCTTTCAGTTAAAGCTGACCTTCAAATGACCTTAAAATGACAATGAACTTGAAATTTGGAGAGGTGGTGATACATGTATGCTTGAATGTTTTCCTTAAAATGACCTCAAATGATCTTGAAATGATAAACTTTGATACTTTGTAGATCTCTGTTGCATTGTACCAAACTTGAAGGAAAACATTTATGCATGCATGTACTGTCAATTGAACTCGTTTTTAGCCAACTTTGATAATAAAGTAATGAAAATATATTATCGTATTTAAAAAAATCATTAGTTCATAGCAACATTTGCCCCTTTGAACAGACTATTTTCCTCTTATAACATTTTTTCATATCACAAAAAGGAACAGAGATACTTTAGGTGTTTCAGTTAAAGCAAACATCCTGTATATAAAATCAAATATTTTTTTATAAAATATAAAATGAAAAAATTATTTATTAATATA